ACATTTGGACTGTTTAAGAGTTAATGCCACTAGGACCAGCTTAAGAGTCACTGGACCTCTGTCGCACAATAAATCTGTCCATAGAGCCCTGTACCTCGTGTTCCTTTAAGATTTGCCTAAAATGGGTCACAACATTGTCATTGTAATGGTCACCAGCATGGCTTGCAATAGCTGTGTTAGGGTGATTTTCATCCATAAAGGTTTGCAGTTCAACCCACTTTGCACACATTTCCTTAATCTTTGAAGTAGGCAACTTCAATTTCTCTCTCCCCTCCTCTGAAGCAGTTTCCTCAGGTCTGGCCTCTTGCTGTTGCAGATGGTTAGATGGTTAATTCTTTGTCGTCGTCCTCCACCAACTCTTCCACATCCTCCCCACTAACCTCCAACCCCAAGGACTTCCCCAATGCCACAGTAGATTCCACAACTGGCATAGGCTTCTCAGGGTTAGCCCCAAACCCTTCAAAATCCCTCTCTTCTACACATTCTTGCCACAATTTCCTCCAAGCAGTGTTCAAGGTCCTCTTATTCACTCTCTCCCAAGCCTTATAAGGTTTACACAACTGAGGATATTGAAGTGATCTTTCCAAAACTCTCTTAGGGTCGATTGAGTGTCTGAGGTCACTTCACAGCACTTTTGAAACAGCTTTTATGTAGAGTTTTTTGAAGTTTGATATGACCTGCTGGTCCATGGGCTGGAGGAGAGGAGTGGTATTAGGAGGCAAAAACTTTATTTTCATATAGCTCATGTCCCCAGAAATTCACTCTGCCAAGTCTGAAGGATGACCAGGAGCATTGTCTAATATCAGGGGGCACTTAAGGTCCAATTTATTTTCCTGGAGGTAATTTTTCACAGTGGGGCCAAACATTTGGTGAAACCAGTCATATACACAAATAACCCGCACATAAAAGAGAGAAGCTTACGACGACGTTTCGGTCCGACTTGGACCATTGACAAATTCACACTAACAGAGGTGGAGCAGGACGGCTATATATAGGCAGGAAGAGGTGGTAGTAGTAGTAGTACAAGAATTGTATATAATACCGACAGGATGAAATTAAGACACATGCACAACGCCCGGGCATCCCCATCGTATACGTTTTGCCATCCAGCCAGCCACTGGATGGCAAAACATCCACAACAAAGACAACCAGACGCCGCACATGTGTCTTAATTTCAACAGTAGTTGTAGTAGAAGAAGAAGAGGTAGTAGTAGTGGTAGCGGAAGAAGTGGGAAATAAGGAAGACGAGCCAGTCAAATACAAAGGAAGGGGAGCACTGCAAGAGAGCTAGATACCCACAGAGGGAGAGCAAGCGCACAGAGGTGCGTGAAAGGGTAAGTGGTGAAATAAAATAAATGAAGAAGGAACAGAAACACGAGACAGGAGAGAGAAAGACAACCCAGAGGAGAAAAGGAGAGAGGAAAGGGGAAGAGAAAGAAGAAAAAGAAAAAGTGAGGATTCAGGTTAAGTCACGGGTGTTCTGAAGTTTGGAGCATTTTACAATGTAGTGGGAGAGGAAGTCATCTACAGAGACGAAGCCAGGGCTAAGGTTCATACAAGGAAAGTTGTGTATTAGAGAGGATTCAACTAGACGGCGACTGTTCGAGTTGGAAGTAGGGAAGACAGTTTTAGCAGAAGACCAGTCAATAGGATGGCTATGATCTCTGACGTGACAGAAAAGAGCATTGTTAGTGTCGGCAAGCCTAACACTATTTTTGTGCTCCCTAAGTCTGTCAGAAAGAGATCGACCAGTTTCTCCGAAGTATTGAAGAGGACAGGAGGAGCAAGAAATAGAGTAGACACCAGGAACATCTGTAGAGGGAGGAGAGGTATGAACGAGATTAGTACGAAGAGTGTTAGTCTGGTGGAAGGTAAGCTTAATGTCTAAGGGACGGAGAGAATTGTTGAGATTAGAAAGACCGGAAATGTAGGGAAGGCAGAGGATAGAAGAGTTCCCATGAGTAGAGAGTTTGGGAGAGAAGAAATTGCGTTTAGCGCGTGAGAGGGCAGAGTCTATGAAATGGGAAGGGTAGCCAAGACGGGAGAACGAATTATGAAGAGTGGAAATTTCTGCTGGAAGGAACTGAGGATCACAGATGCGGAGGGCACGGAGAAAGAGGGAGATAAGAACACTTTTCTTGACAGGGGAAGCATGATAGGAAAAGTAGTGAATGTACATGCCACTGTGCATAGGTTTACGGTAAACGGAAAAGGAAAAACCTGTATCTGAGCGGTGGACATGGACATCAAGGAAAGGAAGTAAGGAATTAGATTCCCATTCAGCTTTAAACTTTATGGAAGGGGCAAGATTATTAAGAGCTTCAAGAAAAGGTTGGAAGAGACTGGAGTCATGAGGCCACAGAGCAAAGATGTCATCCACATAGCGGAGCCAGAGTGAAGGTTGCACATCGAGGGTAGGAAGAAGAACAGTCTCGAAGTATTCCATGTAAAGATTAGCAAGGACAGGAGAGAGAGGAGAGCCCATAGCGACACCAAAGGTTTGAGAATAAAATTTCCCTTGGAAGGAAAAGGAGTTAGAGTCCACACAGAGGCGGATAGAAAAGCTCCCGAGTGACCCTTGCCTTACTGTTTGCCCTCCATATCACACACACAAATTATCCTTGAGGACATTGTTTTTCCTGAACACACTGGGAGTTTCAGAGTGATACACCAGTAAAGGCTTCACTTTACAATCACCTCTAGCATTACCACACAACAAAAGAATAAGCCTGTCTTTCATAGGCTTATGTCCTAGGAGTGCCTTTTCCTCCTGAGTAATGTAGGTCCTGTTTGGCATTTTCTTCCAAAACAGGCCTGTTTCGTCGCAATTAAACATTTGTTCGGGTTTCAATCCTTCAGCCTCTATGTACTCCTTGAATTACAATGCCTATACTTTAAAGGAGGGGTTTGGGATGTTGGCAGCTTGGAGGGATATGTTGTGTATCTTTGTACGTATATGCTTCTAAACTGTTGTATTCTGAGCACCTCTGCAAAAACAGTGATAATGTGTGAGTGAGGTGAAAGTGTTGAATGATGATGAAAGTGTTTTCTTTCTGGGGATTTTTTCTTTCTTTTTGGGTCACCCTGCCTCGGTGGAAGACGCCCAACTTGTGTAAAAAAAAAAAATCAGCCGCTTTTTGGTCCGAACTGGCAGCCTCACCATGCCTTATCACATTATGTATGCCACTATGATTCTTAAATCTCTCAAACCAACCTTTGCTGGCCTTAAATTCACTCATATCACCACTAGTTGCAGGCATTTTTTTAATTAAATCGTCATGCAACTTCCTAGCATTTTCACATATGATCACTTGAGAGATGCCATCTCCTGATATCTGCTGTTCATTTATCTACACCAAAAACACACTCTAAACATCTTCGAGTACTTATGATCTCTGTTTCGTAAACAAACTTTCACCTATTGCAAGAACAGCTTCCTTGATTGCCGTTTTGTTGGTCAAGATGGTAGTGATGGTTGATTTGGGTTTGGTATACAACCTGGCCAGCTCCGAGACACGCACTCCACTTTCGTACTTTGCAATTATATCTTCCTTCATTTCCATACTAATTCTCACCCTTTTTACCACAGGGTTGGCACTAGAAGTTTTCTTGGGGCCCATGGTGACTTATTTTGCAGTTGAAAGCACTAAAAACACTGTGGTAATATGTAATGTACCGAAAGTATGCGTAGATGCAACTGCACTGGCTGGCTTGTAAACACTGGCACACACGGGGCAGCTGAGGTGCGCTCAGGCCACACGTGGACACGTACCGGATGAATCACGTTGGGCTAGTTTTTTATTGTTAGCCAGGCCAAAATTTTTATGCTCAAACACTTCATTGGGTAGATTTAACATTATGCGATGCGTTCGTTAGCTGAGGGTCCACTGTATATATAATTAGATTAAAAATATCATTGTACATGATTATAAGCCAAATTATTTGGGTTATAGTCTAGTAGTTTATAAGTAGTTTTTTTTATATTATCTTACATTCAATTCAAGAAATCAAATTCTCGAAGCAGCAACTATCCACAGGAACAGTTTTATATCCTAATTTCTTAAAATTAATTTCCTCTGAAAAATTACTAAATCAGTTAGTTGCAGTGGACATGGTCCATTGTGTGAAGAGCCTACCAGATGCCCACATTGCTACTAATCGACAAACTACTGATGCAGCAGACTTTGTCTCTTACATTGAATATTTGTTTGCCTATATATTTTGTTATATCTGAAATCTGTTACATAGAGATCCATTATTTTGAGGTTTTAATGTACCTTCATAACTTCATTTTTTTTAGTTAGGTTTGTTAAGAATCAAACTACGGTACGGGTGGGATTTGAACTCACGACAAGTGAGTTGTGAAACTCCAGGCTAGTGCATAGACCACTGTGCCAGTGGGCTACAATAAGATTCATCCAACTAGGTATATTTATACACCATAGGGAAGTTAGGATGGGTCCAACTGTGACCACAAATGCAAATTTTCACAGATGAATTTCCTGTCAGCATGGCTATGATGAACTCTAGCTCAAGTCCCCTCTAACCTGTCATCATGACTCAGGAAATCACAGCATGATTGTAAATGACCCACAGTACTGTGGTTTGTTTACAATCGTCTTATTACGATTTCATGAGCCTTGTTAAGAATGTAAATGAGGGATTGGTTTTTAAAGCTTCTAATAAAGGCATTATTGTTATTGTTTATAGGCCTTCCATTGTGGTTAAATGCAGTTGCATTTTTAGCTGTTAACAAATTTATCATTCCTAAACTCTGAATAGGATTCTCTCCTTGATAATTTCTAGAGCCCTATCTTGTATCATGAAATAAGGTATGATGCATCTAGCGGTAGTAGCATCTCTTCCTTAGGGATGCAATCAGTAACATGTAACTCCTTCCTGAAGCAGTGAAACAAGATGTGAAGCACTGTAGTTCTAGACTTAGGAGAAGGTGGTTATCAATCACTATAAGCAGGGATAATATATGTACTTTTTTGCAGGTAACATCAACAACATCCAATGAATCAAGTAATGGCAGTTCGTCAAAACCAAGTCAGTCACCCAGTGATGAGTCTTCTGGACAACATACCGACATAGTTGCAGCCTCAAGTCTTCTTGGAGAATCTGGAAAATTGCAATCACCCACACACATTTTTTATGTATCATCAGATGAGAGTTTAAGGGCACACAGTGTGTTCTCAAAGTCAGGCCACAAAATTATGATGGCAAAACGAGCTCTGGCAGAGGTCAGTCTGCAGGTGGTGAGGATGAAAGGAACTATGATGTCTGATGGATCACTTGCAGCCAATCTTGTTCTCTTTGACTGTATTTTGCAGGATACTAGACCAGGTACACACATTTCTTGTATATTGCTACATATATATTACCATACTACTGTTTCCTAAATCTCTAATAATATATTAAAGTATCTCCTTTGAATTAATAAATTTCATTTTGTGTTACCTGTATTTTCTTCCTTGTGCTCTCGCTTGTTTCTTCAAAGTGTTGGCAGTCATATTTGGCATTTGCTTCATTCAGAATGATGGGAAAAACAGCATCTTTAAAGTAAATATTAAATCCAAATTCTAGTAAATAACTATTTTCCCAGGCAGCACAGAAGTGTTTCTTGGGTAAGTTTATTAATTCTCTTTATTGTTATGCACATATTTTGGGCAAATATAAACAAGGACTAAACCTTAAACTTGTATACTTGTGTGTATAAATGTAAACCATTGTGTGCGTGTGTGTGTGTACGTGTGCGCATGTGTGTGCTCGCATGTGTGTATGTGCGAGCGTGCACGCTCACTCACTCATTTGTTCTCGCCTGTATGTGATTGCAGGGTTAGTCATAGCTTCTGGCCCTGCCTCTTCACTGATCGCTACAGGGTCCTCTCTTTGCTTCATGAGCTTTATCATACCTCGTCTTAAAACTATGTATGGTTCCTGCCTCCATTACATCACTTTCTAGGCTATTCCACTTCCTGACAAAGCCTATCTGAATCTTCAACTTCCAATTGTGACTTCTTGTTTCTGTGTCTTATCTCGGGAACATCCTGTCTGTACACCCCTGTCAATTCCACACAGTATTTTGTATGTCATTATCATGTCTCCCCTAACCCTTTTGTCCTCCAGTATCGTCAGGCCGATTTCCCATAACCTTTCTTATAGGGCATTCTCCTTAGCTCTGGAACTAGTCTTGTTGCAAACCTTTGCACTTTCTCTAATTTCATGATGTGCTTGACCAGGTGTGGGTTCCAAACTGGTGCTGCATACTTCAGTATGGGCCTGACGTACAGGGTGTACAGAGTCTTGAACTATTCCTTACTGAGGTATTGGAACGCTATTCTCAGGTTTGCCAAGTGCCCACATGCTGCAGCAGTTGTCTGATTGATGTGCGTCTCAGCATATGTGCTCGGTATTATACTCATCCCAAGATCCTTTTCCTTGAGCGAGGTTTGCACTCTTTGGCCACGTAGCCTGTACTCTGTCTGCAGTCTTCTTTACCCTTCCCCGATCTTCATGACTTTGCATTTGGCAGGGTTAACAAACAAACAAATTTTATTTCTTTGCAAGACTACATTAAGATTATGAAATTACAATAATGAGTTGCAGTGCAAAGAGAGCCAGTATCATGCCTAGGCTTTATGGGCAGACTTAATTTAATGGCTTACAGACTACTTAATACTAAATAAATTGATCATAGTTTAAGTTGTACAGCTTTTTATTTATAGTAGACATTAATTGTACTCAAATTACAATAGTTTCAATAATATTGATATTATATTATGGGAATATAACATTGTGAGTTGTTGAAAGTAGTTTTCAGTATGACAATACTACAATTAGGTGTAAAGCAGTATTGTTTTGGGTAGGTATTTTTACTACAATGTAGTATTAATCAGTGTATGAACTTTGGGCATCCTGTTTTGAAGTTTTAAGATTTAGGTAATTGGGAGATTGTTTGATAAAGTTAAATATTGAGTATTGAGTATTTAGTTGAGGGTGAATCAGTGGTTGTATATATGTTGGTAGAATTACTGACAATATGTAGAGTAAAAGGACACAAGTGCAACTAATGTGACATTTTATTGTAGCAACGTTTCGCTCTCCAGGAGCTTTGTCAAGCCATTACAAACGGTACATGGACACAGAGGGTATATATAGGCTTAGAGTGAGGTGCAGTACTAGTGGTGGTGGTGGTAGTAGTAGTAGTAGTAGTATTATAAGTGAGTAATAGTTTTTTGAGAAGTCTTAAATTGATGTTCAGACTGGGTTACTTTAGTATTTGCTGGTAATGAATTTCAAATTTTGGGGCCCTCTATGTGCATAGTTTTTATACAGTGTGATATGGACTGGGTACATCAAAAAGAGATCTGTGTCTTGTGTTATGGTCGTGTGTCCGTGTGGTGAGGAGAACTTTGGGTGGAGGGTTTATGTTTGAGTGTAGCATTCTATGTATGTAGTAGGCACATGAATAAGTATGGATGTTCTTTATGGTGACCAGTTTGACTTTTGAATATTAGTGGAGTATGCTGTCAGGAGTGGGAATTTATCATTCTGACTGCAGCCTTTTGCTGGGTTATTTGTGGTCTTAGGTGATTTAATGTTGTTGATCCCCATGCACAAATTCCATATGCGAGATAATGGTAGATGAGTGAATGATACGGTGCAAGGAGAGCTGATTGTGGAACATAGTACCGTGTCTTTGATAGTTTGCCTACTGTCTTAGAGATTTTCTTGGAAATTTGTTGTATATGGGTCTGGAAATTAAGGTTACTGTCAAGGTGGATTAATTGGAATTTTACCTCTGTGAGACTTGTGATGGGTGATCCGTTTAGTGTTATGCTAAGTGGAACATTTGCAGCTCTGTTTCCAAACTGAAGGAAAAAGTTGTCAGTATTGAGGGTAAGCTAATTAGTCATCATCCAGGTAGATATTTTCTGCAATTCAGCATTGAGTGTTGGCCAGTATGACTGGGTTTGGGTGTGAGAAGATGTATGTTGTGTCATTTGTAGATAATATGGGTTTGAGTAGTTGTTGTGCATTCGGTAAGTCATTGATGTAAATGAGAAAGAGGAGTGGACCAAGGACACTTCCTTGTGGGACACCGACCGTGACTAGTTAAGTGGAAGAGTTTGCTCTTTTTTTTTTTTTTTAACAAGTCGGCCGTTTCCCACCAAGACAGGGTGACCCAAAAAAAGAAAGAAAATCCCCAAAAAGAAAATACTTTCATCATTCAACACTTTCACCTCACTCACACATAATCACTGTTTTCGCAGAGGTGCTCAGAACACAACAGCTTAGATGCATATACCTATAAAGATGCACAACATATCCTTCCAAACTGCCAATATCCCAAACCCCTCCTTTAGAGTGCAGGCATTGTACTTCCCATTTCCAGGACTCAAGTCCGGCTATATAAAAATAACTGGTTTCGCTTAATCCCTTGACTAAATATTACCTTGCTCACACTCCAACAGATCGTCAGGTCCCAAATACCATTTGTCTGCATTCACTCCCATCTAACACGCTCACGCACGATTGCCGGAAGTCCAAACCCCTCGCCCACAAAACCTCCTTTACCCCGTCCATCCAACCTTTTCGAGGACAACCCCTACCCCGCCTTCCTTCCCCTACAGATTTACACGCTCTCCATTCTCTCTAAATGACCAAACCACCTCAACAACCCCTCTTCAGCCCTCTGACTAATACTTTTATAAATTCCACACCTTCTCCTAATTTGTACACTCCAAATTTTCTGCATAATATTTACACCACACATTGCCCTTAGACAGGACATCTCCACTGCCTCCAACTGCCTCCTCTCTGCTGCATTCACAACCCAAGCGTCACACCCATATAAGAGTGTTGGTACTATATTTTCGTACATTCCCTTCTTTGCCTCCATAGATAACGTTTTTTGTCTCCTAATATACCTCAACGCACCACTCATCTTTTTTCCCTCATCAATTCTGTGATTAACCTCATCCTTCATAAATCCATCCGCCGACATGTTAACTCCCAAGTATCTGAAAACATTCACTTCTTCCATACTCCTCCTCCCCAATTTGATATCCAATTTTTCTTTATCTAAATCATTTGATACCCTCATCACCTTACTCTTTTCTATGTTCACTTTCAACTTGCTACCTTTACACACACTCCCAAACTCATCCACTAACCTTTGCAATTTTTCTTTAGAATCTCCCATAAGCACAGTATCATCAGCAAAAAGCAACTGTCAATTCCCATTTTGTATTTGATTCCCAATAATTTAATCCCACCCCTCTCCCAAACACCCTAGCATTTACTTCTTTTACCACCCCATCTATAAATATATTAAACAACCATGGTGACATTACACATCCCTGTCTAAGACCTACTTTTACTGGGAAGTAGTCTCCCTCTCTTCTACACACCCTAACCTGAGCCTCACTATCCTCATAAAAACTCTTTACAGCATTTAGTAACTTACTACCTATTCCATATACTTGCAACATCTGCCACATTGCTCCCCTATCCACTCTATCATACGCCTTTTCTAAATCCATAAATGCAATAAAAACTTCCCTACCTTTAAATACTGTTTACATATATGCTTCAATGTAAACACTTGATCTACACATCCCCTACCCACTGAAACCTCCTTGCTCATCCACAATCCTACGTTCTGTCTTTCCTCTAATTCTTTCAATTATAACCCTACCGTACACTTTTCCTGGTCTTTCTTTCAACACACCAGCTGTATCCCACTGAGGTAGGGTGGCCCAAAAGGAAAAATTATAGTTCCTCCTTTTAATTTAGTAATATACAGGAGAAGGGGTTACTAGCCCATTGCTCCCGGCATTTTAGTCTCCTCTTACGACACGCATGGCTTAGGGAGGAAGAATTCTGTTCCACTTCCCCTTGGAGGACTTTTCCTGGTATACTCACTAAACTTATTCCTCTATAATTTTTACAGTCTCTTTTGTCCCCCTTCCATTTATATAAAGGGACTATACATGCTCTCTGCCAATCCCTAGGTATCTTCCCCTCTTTCATACATTTATTAAACAAAAGTACCAACCGCTCCAACACTATATCCCCCCTGCTTTTAACATTTCTGTCATGATCCCATCAGTTCCAGCTGCTTTACCCACTTTCATTCTACGTAATGCCTCATGCACCTCCCCCACACTCACGTCCTGTTCTTCTTCACTCCTAAAGATGGTATACCTCCCTGGCCAGTACATGAAATTACCGCTTCCCTTTCTTCGTCGACATTTAAAAGTTCCTCAAAATATTCTCGCCATCTACCCAAAACCTCCATCTCCCTCTAACTTCCCTACTCTGTTTTTAACTGACAAATC